CCTGCGTCTCCCGGGGACCATGGACTCACCAGGTGCAGCTCACCCAAGGCAAGAAGCCTGCGCCCCCGCACTCCCTCTCGTTAGCCTGAGCTGCAAGCACCAACTTGCAAAATTTCCCTTATGCATGTGACTTTTCCCCAAGGCTGGTTTCGGAAACGCGGTTTTAACCCTCCACAGTTCCTCAAAAGTGCTTCCCCACCAAAGGCACAGCCATGGGAGGAGACCCCGAAACAGGAATCATCCTCATCTCTTCCAAGGTGAGGGTCCAGAGCTGGAGCTGGACCCTAAAGGCTGTGAAGAGCTGCAGAGTGGCACAGAGAGAAGGCTGTCCTCAATTCCTAGAATCATAGAATGGTTTGGGTTGGAAGGGACCTTAAAGCCCATCCAGTTCCAACCCCCCTGCCATGGGCAGGGACACCTTGCACTAGACCAGGTTGCTCCAAGCCTCATCCAGCCTGGCCTTGGACACTTCCAGGGATGGGGCATCCACAACATCTCTGGGCAACCTGTCCCAGTGCCTCACCACCCTCGATTAACTCGGGACTCCTCCCGAGTCCTTCTCAGGCAGGACTCACAAAGTCCAAATCCCAGAGTTGTATCGGATCAGTTGCTGTGAATATATCAGTCAAAACTAAGCACCGATGACAGGGCTGGAGAAATCAGAAGAGGGGAATGAAGGTCTCAAGGCTGAGAAGGGGTCACTTTATATTTAGCAAAAGGTCGTGTTAAAGCACAGAGAACCAGGGGTAACACGCAGGGTGGGAATTGTATCCTTCCTCAAAACAGGCAGCTGTGCTGATACGGGGGGTGGGTGCCAGTTTCCTCCCAGCTGCTGCACTCGAAGAAAGGCAGTAGGCTCGGACACACAGTCAGACTGACCCCCTGGCACAGCTCCATGTGCTGGAGGAGTCATTGGCTGGCATGCAAAGTGTCAACGTTGAGAAACACCCTCGTTAGCTTGGGAATCATGGTTTTACGGCTCACCAAAAGCTAGAGGATCTGTGGAGGCCAGGAGCAGCATGAACCAAGTATCTTAGTGACTGCTAGTGAATAAAAAACCTGGCTTCACTGCAGTGCCTTTGTACACTTCCTGGAGAAAACGCCATTCTTCTCTTGGAGGGACAAATTTCTGCAACCCTGCTTGCTGCAGGAATTGCTGAGCAATGTGTTCATGACATCACGTGGCTGCTGGGGGAAGAGAACTGCCTTCAAAACCGCTTACCCACATGGGATCTTGCTAGACTGGAAACTGGCAGCTCGCACAGTAACACCAACCAGGTACTGAGAAAAATCAGATAAGTCTTCTTGCTGCTGCCACAAGCACCAGGCCCAGCTCAAATCCCCACCCACGATAGGGCCATGCAAAGCTTCAGGTTCTTTTGCAAACGCTCCTCATCAAAGGTTTGGCTTCCTTTCCACATCTCCTCACCCACGCAAGGATCCTGCCAGAGGTAGAATATAATGACCAAAGTGCTTAGAAAGAACACTGTCAGCTCACTGCCAAAAAAAATGCCCGAGACAAAACTCTGTGGGGCCAATAAACGTGAAAGCAGCACTCATGACCACCGCAGAGCGTACACCATACACCTCTTGTTTAGCAAGACGTGCATATAAGGGCTGATCTTGGCATCAACACCTCATCCCATCAGCACAAGCAGAAAAATCCTGATCGTTTGGGAGGGTTGTTGCAAGGACAAAAGAAAAACCCCACCAGAACCCCAATGGAAAAAAGGAAATTCCAAGTTTAAAGCAATTCCAATTTTGCTGCTCTGAAGCAGACAAAAAGGCCCGACACCATTAAATCTCTAGGATCTCTTAGACTGACAGACTTTCCTTCTGAAGGTCTTCAAAGCACCTGTGTCACGCTTATCTAAGGACTCGAGGAGGACGCTCCACAGCAGCTTAAACCAACCAGAATCCAAGGCAGGGTTATCTAGTTGTTTTTCTGAGATAGTTTTCCAGCCAACCACCCCTCTGAACTTGCAGCCCTGGCCCAAAGGAGATGATGGCTGTGCGGGTTGGGTTGTAGGGAGGCAAGGTCTCCCAGCCCAACTTCAAAGGCTGCCATCAAACCACGTGTTCAGGAACCTTTGGCAGGTGTTGGTTTTCCGATCATCTTGTTTGGGGCATAATTTTGATGATTTTGTTAGGTGAGATCCTACTGGGTATCTTCTCAATCCAAGCAGATCTTTGTAGCCACAGGTCCTGCAGAATAGTCTGTAAAATACTCAGTGATTAACATATTCCAATAAACAACACATTTCAGATCCTAGCTGGACAATCAGCTACCATTGTGTTGGCACTTATGCCTTTACATCTGGGCTTCTGAATTGCAAACACCTCCCTAACATTCCTGTCACACCTATCAATCGACCTACCAAGGCTGGAGCCTTAGAAATTTAACCCTGTTAAAGCCAACTGGGAGAACTGTAATTAACGGCAAATACAAAGTCAATCAGTAGCCTTGGGAGTCATTTGGAGAGAGGCAAAGGCTCACAAGAAATAGGGAACTAT